ATATCTAAGAAGGACTCGCTTAGAATCATCTTAGCATTGGTAGCTCATTATGATTTAGAGTTGCATCAAATGGATGTGAAAACTACTTTTCTGAATGGGAATTTGCATGAAGAAATTTATATGGAGCAACCCGAAGGATTTGCAAAGAATGGTAAAGAGCATTTAACTTGAAAATTAAAGAAATCCATATATGGCCTTAAACAAACTTCCAGGCAATGGTATTTAAAGTTTAATGATACAATTACCTCCTTCGGATTTAAAGAAAATGCAGTTGATTGATGCATATATCTAAAGGTTAGTGAGAGTAAGTTCATTATTTTGGTGCTAAATATGGATGACATTTTGTTAGCTAGTAATGACCTTGGCTTATTGCATGAAACCAAGGAATATCTCTCCAAGAACTTTAAAATGGTCGATATGGGTGAGGCAAACTATGTTATTGGCATAGAGATCTTTAGGGATCAATCTCGATGATTGCTAGGACTATCTCAAAAAGGATATATTGATCGTATTTTGGAGAAATTCAATATTCAGTTTTGTTCAGCCGGTGATGCACCCATCATGAGAGGTGATAAATTAAGTGAAAAACAGTGTCTAAGGAATGACTTGGAGAGAAAACAAATGAAAGACATTCCATATGCATTAGCAGTAGGTAGCTTGATGTATGCCCATACATGTACTAGGCCAACTATTAGTTTTACAGTTGGAATGTTGGGAAGATTCCAAAGCAATCCGAGAATGGAACATTGGAAAGTAGTAAAGAAGGTTATAAGATATCTTCAGAGAACAAAGGACTATATGCTCACCTAGAGGAGATCAGAACATTTGGAAGTGATCGGATACTCAGACTCAGATTTTGCTAATTGCCTTAATAGTAGAAAATCTACATCAGGTTTTGTTTTTCTACTAGCTAGTGGAGCAATTTTATGGAAGAGTGTGAAGTAGTCCACTATTGTTTCATCTATTATGGAAGCTGAGTTTGTGGCATGCTGTGAGGCTACAAATCATGCTTTATGGTTGCAAAATTTCATCTCAGGACTTGGTGTTGTTGAATCAATTGCCAAGCTGCTGAAGATATATTGTGACAATACCGCAGTTGTTTTCTTCTCTGAGAATGGAAAGTACTCCAGTGGTTCCAAACACATGAAAGTAAAGTACTTAGTTGTTAGAGAAAGTCCAGAAACAACAAGTGTTAATTGAAAACTTAAGCACATCTCTTATGATTGCTGATCTGTTCACAAAGGGATTGCCATCAAAGACATACAAAGAGCGTGTTATCAGGATGGGTCTTTTAAGCAACCCTTGATGTATATGGTAAATCGTGAGTGCTTATTTTTATTTGACACTATTTGTGCAATAATAATTTTGTTTCTATTTTTCATGTTTTTAAAAATGTGTGTACACATTAATTTGAATATTGATAAATAGGAAATGTCTTAACAAGACGAATTGTAGGGGCCTTTCAGGCAAATAATTATATATTCCAATAATGGATTGGGTTAGTGAAAGTTATCAATGGTGTAGTGCATAAAAGGAAATATATGACAAAAATGTTCTATAACCGCTATAACGCACATTGGTGATCTAAAATAATTACAGTATTATAGTTTCTAATATATCTGAACTTATTGGCTATTTTTAAAATTCATGATCACGTGTCAAAATTTTTAGTATGGAATTCAATGAGTCAAAATTTTTTATAAATTGCATATTTTTTGGAGGGGTAAATTACACTGACACCCCCTGAGGTTTATGTTTATTATAGTTTCCCTCTCACCTTTTGAAAATTACATCTCCCTCCCTAAGATTTAAAGTTTTATTATAGATTCCCCTCTCAGTAATTTAATTTTTTAAATATCAATTTTGCTCTCACTGGGTAAATTACATTGACACCTCTCACATTTTAGAAATTACAATCCCCTCCCTAAGGTTTAAAGTAGTATTACCAATTACCCCCTCAGTTAGTATTAGTTGGAAAAAAAGTTAATTGGAAAAAAATTAATTGAAAAAAAAATTTGTTAGTAAAATTTTTAAATTTCTATTTAAAAACCAACGTAAACTCATTTTTTGAATTTATATTTTTTCCTCAAATTTACAAACTAAGACAACAATTTATAAACCAAAAAATTATCAAACAAGTTTTTATGACAGTTTTTTAAATTTTTGTTAATATAAATTGAAAACTGAAAACGAAATAGTTACCAAACATGTTTTAAATGGTAGAAATGTGGTAAAATTAAAAAATAATTAAATAAGTTACCAATGTAAGAAATGATTTATCAAAAGATTCTTAGGCTATGTATGGTTTGATTTTAGAATTTTTTTTAAAAAATTAAAAATTAAAAATTAATTTGGTTAAAAAATAAAAAATAATTATAATTTAAGGGTAAAAAATAATTATCATTTTAACTTTTGGGCAGGTTATATATATACGTATAGTTGTTTCAATTTAATTTGTAAAAAAATATTTTTAACCACTCGAAAGATAAAAATTATATAAAAATAATATTTATTTTTTATTTTTTATTTTTTATGTCTTAACCAAATTAATTTTTAATTTTTTTTAAAAAATTTAAAAATCAAACCATACATAGCCTAAGAATCTTTTGATAAGTCATTTCTTACGTTAATAACTTATTTAATTATTTGTTAATTTTACAACATTTTTACCATTTGAAATCTGTGTGGTAATCATTTCATTTTCAATTGTCAATTTATATTTACAAAAATTTGAAAAACTGTCATAAAAACTTGTTTGATAATTTTTTTGATTTATAAATAGTTGTCTCAGTTTGTAAATTTGAGGAAAAAACGTAAATTCAAAAAATGAGTTTATGTTGGTTTTTAAATAGAAATTTAAGAATTTTACTAACAAAATTTTTTTTCCAGTTAATTTTTTTTTTCAATGAATTTTTTTTCCAACCAATACTAACCGAGAAGATAATTGGTAGTGTTACTTTAAACCTTAGGGAGGGGATTGTAATTTCTAAAATGTGAGCGGTGTCAATATAATTTACCTAGTGAGGGAAAAATTGGTATTTAAAAAAATAAAATTGCTGAGGGGGAATCTGTAATGAAACTTTAAATCTCAAGGAGGGGGATGTAATTTCCAAAAGGTGATGGGGGGAACTGTAATAAACATAAACCTCAGGGGGTGTCAGTGTAATTTATCCTTTTTTTGGAAAAACTCATAATTGCATCATAATCGGCTTAATAGGCCAAGTGAGAGAATGTTGGATTTATTTTCTAGTGTGGCCCAATAGCCTACATATATCAACATGTTTTAATTTATTTGGACTCCACAATTAGATAAAGCCAATATTTGATATAAAGTTTAGTAATTAGAATTTTAATATAATTACTCTTCTAAGATAAGAAGGAAATCTTGATGGATAGAAATTCTTCTGATAGAGTTTATCTGGCCATCTTCTCTCCTCTAGATAAGGATGGGTGAATCCCCTTTCATATCATAAGTATTTTTCTATTGTTCTAAGTTTTATAGTCATCATAATTAAGAGAGACAAAAAGAAGAATGTAAGCCAAGAATTAAAGGTTCAACTATTATGGGCATTTTCTCAACTTCTCTAATTCAATGGCTGACAAAGGTAAGTTAGTTTTATTCTTGAGTTGTATTGAATTCAAGATCCTGTAAAATTTAATTCCGCATTATTATTATGGTTACATGTATTATTAAATCTTACAATATCTGTTCATTTTTATTTTTATTTTTTTTTGTTATTGTTGCTGATGTTGTTGATGATGATGATGATGATGATAAAACAGATTAAAAAAAATTGATAGATAGAATAGATTTGTTCAAATTTATTTTATATATATATATATATATATATTTTTTGATAACTCAGGTATCCCCAACCCGCTGATTTTAAGGGAAGCCAGGACTAATCCTGAGAGCCCTGAAGTTAACGACCGGGCAAACCTCTAGTGGCCCCAAGGGGTGACTCGAACTTGAGACTTGTGGATTTTATCCTCCAGACTTTACCATTCGGTCACTTACCTTGGGGTTGTTAAATGTTCAAAATTATTATATGTTCAAAATTTTAACAGATTATTTTTTTTTTTAAATAGATAGAACAATTTTGTTTTGAACAGATAATAGGATTATAACAGATAATATTATAACTCTTTTCAAAATTCAAACAGATAGGGGTTCGGTATTGAGAAAATATAGAGTATATGTACAAATACCATGAAATTTTTTTGGAAGTTATCTAATTTTTGAAAGTGATGATTTGTTTGAGGTAGTAGGATATGCATAGATATTGTGAAAATTTGAATAAAAGTTGTCCAGATGCACTTTTGTTCAGATAAAAAATTGAACAGATAGATATAATAAAGTTGTGAATTTGTATAGATAAAGTTTTAATTGATAAAAAATTAGACAGATAGAAAATTGAACAAACAGTCAACAAAAAGCCAAACAGATAGAAAAAAGTCAAGAGCTAAAATTGGAAACAAAATGTCATCTAGGATTTTTCACGAAACTATTTCACAAAGTGTGCACCTCTCACAAAAAAAAAAAAAAATATTGGACCTAATACCATAAACAATTGTTATAGTAGATTTTGCATCAATTTTCTCTTTTATCAATTTATACCCAATCTTTTAAAAAATTCAATCCAAATCATATGCATATTTCCGTTAAGTAAAATTAATAGAAATAGAGGTATTTTATTCGTTAAAGTGAATGAAAAAATGTATCTTAAACATTTTATGTATATCTAAATTAGTTTAATGATTAAAATAAGATTTTTCAATCAGTTTTAATTAACGAAAATAAATTAATAATTTAAATTGAAAACATATAAAAAAATTATGATTTAAATTAATAAAATTAAAAATTTATGATTTATTTTGTAAATTTTTCAAAACAAAATGAATGTGGTTAGGATCCGCCCAAAATCCAACCCGACCCATTTGCAATCTCCAAATGGATACAGAGGATATAGCCCAACATAAAAAGAAGGCCCAACAAAAAAAAAAGCCATGAAAATGCAGGAGGGAGGGGGAGAGAGAGAATCAATGGAGGAGGAGAGAGAAAGAGAGAAGGAGAAGGAGAAAGGGAACGAGAGATGGAGCGCAGCGACCGCGAATCTCTCGGAGATGGCCTCCAATCTCGAGTCACTCCAGAAGCTACTCATCAAGAAAGCCGTCTATGTCGATGAAGAGACCTTTGCCAAGGCCTCTCTCAGCTCCGAACAAGCCCGAACTATCAAGGTTCGTTGTTCCTCTCATCATCGCTTGATTTCAAACTACTTCAACCATCAAAGTCCTGATTTTGTGCTCCAAATTCCATTAATTTTGTGTATATTGCTCTGGTTTGATTGAATTGTGGTCTTTTAAATTTGATTGGCTATTTGTACAGAAGTTGGAAAATGGTTAGAGGAAAAGGGTTTGTTTGTTTTGTGAATTAGTGATCTGGGTTCTTGCTAAATAGTTTCCAATTGGTCTTGTACTATGATTTTGCTTTGTTTTTGGGCTACCTATAGAGTAAACTACTAATTTGCAATTATCAATCTTTTGACAACTGAGGTGTGTCAGGGTCAACTTTATATGTCATTTGAAATATAGGTTGTTGGTTCGTTTTGATCTTCAATCTTACTGTATAGTGAAGTGTGATTGGTGCCTGCTTGATTTTAGATATTGAGAGAGAACAAACAATGAAGACCTATAAGGAGAGATACTAAAGCAAATATTTAAAAATTTTAATTTAGCTGAGCATATAGCCCTTGACAGGTTAAAATGATGAAAAAAAATTTATGTAGTTGCTCCCACTTGATTCGGACGGTAGGCTTAGTTTGGTTTGGTTTGGACTGCTTGATATTAGATGCTATGCGTTTGTGGTTTGCAGTCTCTTTCTTATCATGGAGTTGTGCATAATCATTAAAAGGAATGGATATAAATATATACGCATATTATATACTAAGCTACCTTTTTGAGTGCAGGCTCTTGAACAAAGAGTAGGGTCATTAGAACGAGAGCTTGATGCTGCGATTTCAGCTGCTGCTCGTGCTCGTTCAGAAAAAAGACAGGCTGAGGCAGCACAAAAAGCTGCTGAACTTCGTGCACTAGAGATTACAAAGGAGCTTGAAAACACCACGAGTATGTGAACTCTGTGTCCTTTGTGTTGCATGATATATTTATCATAAACCCCCTTTATAGTAACGAAATTGAATTTTAGGCGTAATGTGTCACCAATTCATAGATGGGTTTATGTTCTTAGGCTCTAAGCACTCTTTGATATTGATTTGTGCATGCATTCAACTTGGATGGATGATATGAGAATGATTTGTATAAGTGGACTACTAGATCATATCAATGAAATCCATTAGTGAACTGATCTATAAATTACAAAAGTTTGATTTGGTCATCATATATCTTGTCAGTTATGACTCACTATATAAGCATCTTTAAGAGGTAGTAGATTTGTTTTTGTTTCTTTGAGAACACGTGAAACTTCGAAGTAGTTAAATATTGTCAATTTGTCACTGATATGACAGCTTGGTATAATAATTCTTTGAGAGCAAAAACACTATTATGTGATAGGTACGAAAAATATCAGTCTTCAATGCTTGATTTATCCCCTCATCCAAGCAACTGAACCGTTTTTGGTCTTTCCAATGGTTTGCACTGCTGTAATGAGAATTGTTAGTCATTGAATGCATGGCCTTTCATGTGATGTCTCTCTAACTTCATTACCTCCGTGGCGTTTATTGAGTGGTTGAACGCTGTCATTTTGTTATCCCGTCATGCCTCAATCAATTAATTGCTCGACGGCACCATTATTGCCAAACTTATAAATTTCAGCTTTACTGCCTTCAGGAATTAGTGCAATCCATTTTTTCTTTTCATCTATTGCAATTGCTTTCTCTTTTTTTTTTTTTTTTCAAATTCCTGTTATGATCATGATGGGGAAATATTGTCCAAAACAAAGTAGTTGACAGAGGAATGATTTAATTAAAATCTCTACTCATTAAATATTCTTGATTAATTCTAAAACCCTTGAATGATATTGACACATGAATTTTATTCCGGATAATGGTATTCTTATTCTTTACCTTTGCTTCCTGCCATCAAAACATGACCTTAGTTATCATGGTTGGTGATTAGCTTTTGTCACACGAGTCTGTTGAAGGGGTTATATCAAATTTGCAAGTTTTGGTTGTAAGACTTTCATGACCATAAAGGGTGTAAAATGCTCCCAACATTTGAGGAAACTACATTAATTTGACCTTGAATCCTTCTAATGATAATTATTCACACAGAATGCTTCCTATAAATTCTTTTCATCTACAGTTAGATTGAAAAGAGTAGCATGTACACTTGACTCTCAGAATGAGTGAAGCTTTCTACTTCGATCACCAACTCTGCTATTAAGTTAACCTTGGAGCACTATCTCAATGATTCTGTTTAATCCAGAAAAGCGGAACAAAAATGAAATTATTTTAGATTTATTATTTTGGTTTCGGAAAATGAGTGAGAGCAATAATTAATGCTATCACTAATGATGTGGCAGTGGGCCCCACCATGAATGATTTGATGATTTGGCCTTGGTGTTGTCTTTTTTTTCTTTTTTTATTGAGTGCCATGTCATTAGTGGTCTTTTTAGAGCTCCAAAATTAGTGGTCTCTATCATTGTTGTTTGGTTTCAAATAGTTCTTATTTGAAATGAAATTGATGTGCTTGCTTTCTGGTTTTATATTATTGTAGAGACTGTTTCTTCTGTATCTTAGCTGAAGTGTTGTGTTCTATATTCTATCCATGCTTACTTTCTTCAACTAATCCTTGTAGCATCTATGGATTGTTCAAGTGTGGTGGTCATAAATAATTATGGGTGTCCAATAGGCAGTGGCATGATTAACTGGCGTAAATTGACAGTAAATACTTGAATAAACAAAGAAAAAGGTGAATAGTCCTTGCCTATGATCCCAGAAGACCAGCCTGAAAAGTTTTGAGCTTCTTATGTAAGCCTTGGTCTTTAATTGCAGAACTCTGGACCTTATAGTTCCCAAGTAACGATCAGCTTGGCAGAACCTTAATTATGATTATTCGGGTATCACTAATCGATCTTTTCTTGCTCTCATCTGTAATTGGATTTAGAGCCATATCATCGAAATATTTTTCAATCAAATAGGATATTTTCTACAATAACAGAATACTGGACACAGATGTTTAGTCCCGTATATTCGAGTTATTTTTTCCCCTTATGTATTTAATTATCTAATGCAGAGGTATTTGAATTGCACATGGAAGAGTTGCGTGCGAAGCAAGAAGAGATTTCCAAGCGAGATAATGAAATTAAATTACTTGAAGCTATAATTCAGACACTTGGGGGTAAAGAGTCACGTTTCACAAGTGTGTAAGACAATTTCCGTTGGTGTATTTCTGTCACACTGTATCTTTCCTTGTAATATTATTAGCGAGGCGTTTCTAACTTGTCAAAAGAGAACATTATAGCAGGGGACTTTCTGATGTGTCTTTACTTGTTTTTATCTTCTTTTTGTTCTTCTAAAATATTGGAAATCTTCTACAAAGGGTTTCAAATGTTTGTGTGCAGACTTTTTCCTGTAATGAAATGTTTGATCCAAAGTGGATGGAATGATGGGTTCAATTGTGTTTCTGATGTGAAGCATTGCAATGCGAATTGCTTGTATAACACAATATACATAGCTAAATTTGTGTAGAAACACAGCCTCTGTGTTTGTTGCCATTGTATTTTCCTCATCTGTTTTTTTCTTCAGGTCTTTTGGATGTATAGGGCTATCAGTATTAACAGTAAGATTGATCTTGCTTTTCAACTTTTGTTTAACCCTTGCATAACATCTATTTAAGAGAAATTGTGTAGGAGATGTTTTCTCAATGGTTGGGTGGCTTTATTGGATTGATTACATGACATTGTTAAAAAAATAAAAATAAAAATAGAAGTTCCTTAATATGTTCCAAATGCAACATACAGCTTGAATTTTATTCTTCTCAAAAGGATTGAATCTATCTTATATTGTATTTTTCTGAAATACATTTGCATAAAATAGAGAAAAGTGCCTCCTTTTCAATCTATTTAAACCAAACTAATTTTGGTAATTATTCAAAATAAATTTCTGTTACTTTTTTGCTTTAAGAAATAATCCATATTTTGAATAATTATTTCCAAAAAACAATTTGAGTTTAATAAAAAAAATTGCTTCTAGAATATTTCTTTATATTTAAAAGGAGTTTCAAGCTTTTCTTTTTTGAATTTTACAGTTTCAGTTATGGACAAATCGCCAATTATGGTTATATATTGTATAGTTGAGATTATACACATTATGTATTTTTTTTTTATAATTTTTAGTTTTTGCATTTCCAAAGAAGATATAACTATAACCGACATCTACGAAAATCAAGTTTCCCTGAACAAGTTAAAAAAAAAAAAATTTGCAAAAATCACATTGACATAAAAATAATTAAACAAAACCCATGCTATACAGAGACAGAACACTCGTATACATTCCAGAATTATGTACAGTGATTCCCCATTCTCTCAACAAAGTTCCGGAATCTGCCATTAGCCTCCTTTCTTCCAACCTTCAGCTCAGCAACATTAGATTCACCATCACTTTCATAGCTCTACACCACAAACCCATATCAAACAACCAAAAGGCATCAGCCACCACTTCACCGCTACAATCACGAGCCCGTGTGCTATCTTAGCCACAAGATAACATAAAGAGTCAAAACAACCTAACAGGTGACATTAAATATTGAGAATTTTAATGAAATAACCAAAACAAAATAAGCAACCAAAGTTGTTACCCTGTTTCGCTTATGGTTGCAAAATTCAGACAAACATATCAAAATTCAGTGCAACTAAAAGGTGCATCTTATCAGTGGCACCAGCTAAAGGTGGAGACTCGTTCAATTTTTGCCACCTTTCTTTAAGACCATCTCAGCAACAAATTCCCCGATTCATGGCTAATATATAATATTCACCAACAATTGAATGCTATGTATGATAATTAGATCAACATCAGAAATTTAACAAACAAAATTTTCAAAGTGAAAGAGAGCTGAACTATAAACCTTACCAATCATATTTACATGGAAAACACACTACATTATTTGTTCCCCTCTACCAGCATAGTATCCATTCACAACCAACACTGTAATGATCGTCAATTTCATGTATGTAATATAAACAGCACCAACAGCCACGAAATCATCATCCCAGCCTACAACCCCGGTCAATCTTTCCCGAACATAACTATAAAACCCAGTATTTGATTTATAACAAATTAGTAATATCAAACTTAACAGTGCACAAAACATAAATGCATGCATAGAAATTTATTTTCTGCGGGGTTGTGGAGAATTTTTTTTTTTTTTTTTTAAAAAAGAACAAGAAAATATACTGGAATAACAACCCACATAGATACTGAAATGCCATCCCACAAAACAGCTAAAATGTCTGTAAGCTAGTAAAGTTCTTACAGAAAAACAGTTGAGCACAAGATATCTAGACACACAAGCTAAATAAAGTATGCATGAAAATTGATAGTGAATTATTTAACCATTGGGAAGGCCAATCCTACCAAACTAGCACTAGGAACTTCGATTAGAACATTCATGACAGTTGATGCTCCCCAACAATAGCAAAATGGTCACATGTTAAGCCCTTCATAATTGTCTCTCCTGCCTGTTAATCATCCTTCAATATCAATCCTACAAAAATCCAAATTCCAATGTCACAAGTTAGGGAACATGCATTTATATGCACATAGAGGTACACACAACTGATGTAAAAAGAATATATATATTATTCCACTTGGAGAGCTTACATCAATGCCTCGATTATGACGGGAAGGGCTTCGAGAATCAGCAGGTCGACGTCGTGGTGAAACACTACGGGGGGTTGGAGACCGTTCATCATGGCTGCGCCTGTCAGGACTCTCATCCCTAGAGGAGAGTGACCTCCGAGGAGACAAACTCCTCCGTGGACTAAGGCTATATCGAGGTGGGGAGGCACTGTAAAAATCCCACATAACAACATACCAATTACAGTTCATATCAGAAGAAGAAACTTAATGACCTTAAAACATGAAATCAGAATACTAAAAACCTTGCAAACGATCGACTCCTACTCCTTTGCCGCTCATCGTCATATCGCCCCCTACCACGGCCTCTATCATAATCGGAACTTGCACTGCGACTCCTGCTTCGACGACGATAATCTCTCTCCCTCCCATGATGCTTGTCATGGTCATACCTATCCCAACTCCTGCTGCGATGACGACTCCTTGAATAATCCCAGTCTCTGTCATAAACATCACGGTACCTGGAAATATTTAACATCAATTGTTACACAAGCATAATTTCATCCAAAAAAAAAAAAAAAAAAAAAAAAAAAAAAAAAAAAAAAAAAAAAAAAACACAAGTAAAGCATGAACTTCAAAGAAATGCCTCGTAAAGGTCAAAACGATGTGAACAAAGAAGACATCAATAATATTTATTCAAAAATCACAAAATTGTCAAGTGAAATTGTAAGAACACAATATGTATGAGTAAACAAATCATCTTTTGAAAAATAGTCGGAGACGGCAGACCAAGGGGTAGGCTTGGGGAATGAGGTGTTCCCTAACTAGGTGTGATCCCCAGGTTCGAGGTGCGATGCAATTTCATCTTCCCTATTGCCATTCTACCGTGTTAAAAAAATGCTATGTATATGATCATAATTCCTACAATACTTGAAAAAAACAGTTGGAGACCAAAACTGTTAAGATATAACCATAAGAAGCCAACAACCCCCTCCCCCCCCCACACACACTCCTCAACACAACTCTAATTTCAAAAGAGGGGGCCAAGAGAGTCAATCAATGAAGTTTCCAACAATTGATTCATCGTTAAACCATGCCAAAAGACAACAGTGATGCTCATATTTGGATGATCACCTTACTATGAAGTTATAATAAAAAAAAATAATTAAAAAATAAAAATAACAAAGCAACTTGGAGTGCAACTAATTCGATGACCATGCTCTGTCCATCTGAAGAACCAAGAGAGTTAAGGGCTTAGCTAACAAGTGCACCATAGCCTTGCACGAAATTTGGTTAGATCTTGAGAGACCAGACTGGCCTTCATGGACAACCTTGGGAAGTGGGAATGCCTATTGCAACCTCTAGTGCAACTTTGATTTGATTACCATGCTTGGTTTTCACCTACTTCAAAAGCACCCCACACCTCACTCAAGGATTGTTTGGCGATCATAATTTGGTTGGATCCCTGACACCAAACTGGGATTAACACAAACGACCTTAGGAAGTGGGATGCAATCAACAAATATCCAATCAAAAGTAGACTTCAAAACTCAAACCCTCACCAAACTGGCATTTACACGAACAACCTTAGGAAGTGGCATGCCATCAACAAAGATCCAATCCAAGTAGTAGACTTAAAAACTCAAACCAATTGTCCCTCAACCAGTCATGCAAGCTTTGTAAGACTTGGGTGGCCCACTAAAGCATTATTCCAAACACAATATTGTGCTACTACCATTACTCACTCAAGCTATTTGAAGTTGTTAGCTAGTATCCTGAATCCAGACACAAGAATACACCATCATCAAAGGATGAACTGAAACTGCAGGTTCTCCTCTGGATAGGGGGATGCTTTGATGTATCACATTTTAGTTGTGCCCGAGATTTCCCTTTTCTTTTTAGTAATAGGCGTCCGATTGTATATTCTTGAAGTGGAGGAATCAAATCCGTCAACAAGATGGATCGAAGCCAAGTATCAATTACAAAAATTTTACAAGTGATCGCATTTTTTAACTTGCCCTACTTTGTTACATGGACTTGTGTATGCTTGTTGGGTGCAGATAGGTGTCTAAAAGTGGGGTTCTACTAATTTGCAAGTCTGAGGACCAAGTTAAATAATCAATTTTCGTGATAATATTAATTTTGTATTTCGACCAGTAAAATGGTGTTGTGTGTAACATCATGTTTTGATCGATCTCATTATAAATCAAAAGAATATTATAATAAGAGTGTCATGTACAAGTATCCAATAAACCTAAATTACCAAACATGCTTTCCAGATTTATCTCCAACTATACATGTCAAAAACATCTCTTACTCAAATCCAACGGTCATGTGTCCAAAACATATACTCACATTTTGAAGAGTCCATGAACCTGCACTATGATTTAAGAAAATTTCCCACTCTAAAATATGGACAAAAAATACTTCTTAATTTTATCAAGTTTAGAGTAATGCTACAATGATCATGTTTATATACCAAATTTAGTTTACCATGAGACCCATTTAATCAATGTGATTATGAAAAATGAGATGGTAAACCCAACATGATATATAAACATGGTCATTGCAAGTTATCCTTGTTTGTACCCATCCAATGATTGGGAATGGCACATTCCTACAAGTTTTTAAGTAATTAAAAACTAAGAAGAATGAATGACAACATTGTAAGACCCAATTGGCGTTTAACTATTGTTAAGAGAGATCATATCAACTCTTTACATTGATGTCCTACAGTTCATTGCACATAGATAAGTAATTCATCTATACTATAATATTAAGGAAACGCTCCAGTACAGTGAAACCTCTTTTGTGAAGACATGTCTCATTTTTAATTTCCTAAAAAGTTCAAAAGTAATTGATTAATTCATAGTGAGAAGAGGTTTTCCAGATCACTTAAGGATTAACGTATAATTTGATAGTTACTGGTTTACAGATACATAACCACCCATCAACTCTCTACATTTTTTTTATCTCTAAACTTCAGTCCCATGCTATGTATATGATCATAATTCCTACAATACTTGCTCCATCAACTGCAATCCACCCCAAGATCTAATCATACGCGGTACTCTTATAGATCAAGAATATAGAGGGACAAATCTTCAATTTTGAATCACATCAACATCCAAAGTACTTAAAGATTCCACTCACATGTTGCTTCTCACCTGTGGATTACCAAATACATTAACATACAAAAACTTAATAACATGTCGATCTTCTATTTTAGACAACAAAAGGCAAATGCAGGTGGTAGAAATATCGTAGGACTATTCACTATCACGTCAAATGCTAGACCGATGGGACACTTGCAGACATGAAATGTGCAAACATATTGCCTATATGTGCCTTGTGCATGTCAACAGCAACTACAGGTGGTTAAAATTGGATAGACATTCACTATCAAAAGAACCACGTGTCTTTGTTTCTTTTTTCACTTTTTTGGTCCAATAGTGATTGCCTACACAACAGCAGTGGTCCTCCCACTACCCATAACCCCTTCCAACCTCAATGAAGAATTTAATCTCACATAGTACCACACAAGATACTTAACCAAGCTTGCTGGCTTTAACAAAAACACGCATCTAATCATGACACAGGCAAAACTGTTTTAAAACTTGGAACCAGGGTATATCATGTAATTCTGAAAATTGAATTGATAGCAATTGCAAGGAGTAGAAACATGCTTACCTTCGCCGCGGGCTGCGGCTTCTAACTCTGCCACCGGTTTTTGATAACGGTTCAGTAATCCTTCCTTTGTGACTGAAATTAAAATAATTAGCACATTATTAACAACAAACAAAAAATCATATAGTATAGAATGAACACCTATAACAAAAATAAGTGAGGAGAAAAGAAACAAGCGCAAGCAAGTCATAATACTCGAAAAAGTAAGGTGAAAAAGATGGTAAAAGAAAAGAAGCAAATATTAGCCTTCATGTAAAAATGCAACAGCAGCAACATATGCACCTCATCATAATCCATATTTTCTATAAAGGCATGTAAAACAGTAAACCCAAACTTGAGACGGGGAGGAAGTATTCAAAATTATCAGAACTCTGTCAAGATTGGTACTTACATCCGCTCTGCATTTGGCCCATACTTTGCAAACTGAACCATAATTTCTCTGCCATCAATAACCCTCCCTGAAAAGTGTAACTATACATTAATATATATTATATCTATATCAGCATACACTCACCGAAAGCATATGAATTAAATAAAGCAAATGAATTAAATAATCACCGAAAGCAGAAAAGGGCTTGATGCATATGGCATCTGATGTGGCTTGATTTTCAACAAAATCTCTTCAGTAGGCTTCAATGCAGCATATTTTATTTCAAACCTCAAGCTTTTTATTGAATCAACCAGACTCTCCATTATAAACTAAGTTTTTTTTTATAAGTAAAATCATTACCTAAACAGTTCACCATGAATGGACACAACCAGATGCACATACAATGTCACAAAAAATGACAATAATCTCTCAGGATATTGTAGAGAGGCCCCGAAAAGTACAGGAGTATATTTATTGTTTTTACCATTCTTTCTACTGGGCAAGGAACTGGGAAAAGAGTCATCATGCAAGAATACAGTTTGCGAAGTCCGTGTGTTTGGTTTTGTTCTCAAAAACTATTTTTTGCTCACCAAATTTTTTTAAATAAATAGAAAAATACAAAAAAACTGATATAAGAAACTTGTTTGGGAGACTGTTTCTAAATAATAATAAAGAATATTGTGGGAAAGTTTTTTGAAGACACCTCTTTTTAGGAAACAATTTTTAATTGTTTTTAAAATTGTCAATGTGTTAATATAAAACCTAAAACGAGGTTGTTTCCGAACTTTCCAAAAACAAAAATCAAAATTTTGAAAACTAATTAGTGAAAGTGTAATTTGTCTTGACAAAATCCCAATGTTTCTATTATCTCTAAAACCCCAAATCTTAAGTGCAATTTACAACCAAGTTCCATTAACCTCAGATTGTTGGACTTACCCAACCAACCAATCGTAGATGAAATCAATTAAGAAAAAACAAATAAATAAAATAAAATAACTAGACATGCTGACAAAGAAAGCAACATGGAATCTAAATGTGTAAATTCAAGTAAGTGAGTGAGGGAGAAGTATACCATCTAGCCTATCAACAGCCTTCTGTGCTTCATCTTGGTACTTATAACGAACAAATGCAAACCCACGAGGCTCACCAGTCCTAAATACGTAAAATTACAACAATAGATCACATAAATTGACGGCCTTCAATTTTTCATCATTGAATGATAAATGTAAGAGAAATTCACTTTGCCTCTTCAAACTATCAATTTGACCCTAAACTATCAATTTGAACAGTAACTCCCTTAAAACTATCAATTCACTTGTTCCGTTTTACCCTAAAATATCAATTTGAACAGTAACTCCCTTAAAATTAATTATTTTTTACGGAATATCACATCTGTCTGCACACGTGATTAATTGAAGGTATTTTTATTCACTTTGCCCAAGTAAAGAGACAGATAAAGAGACAAATACCATAATAATACCATGGAACAAAACACAACTAATTGTTTTGAAAATATTTAATTAAGCCTAAAATACAACCAGTTGTAACAAACTACTACCTCTAGATATAACCAAATTAAGCAAATCACATGCACAAATTAACACTATGATGCTTTGGGATAAACTGACTAATGACAGTAGTTTAAGGAGTTAACTGTTTAAATTGATGGTGAAGGGATGTAACAGTTTGAGGAGGCAAAAGTGAATTTTTCCCTAAATTTAAGCAATAAAAGAGGCGAACTCAACAAAAACATAAAATTTGTGATGCCAATAGCCCTATTTGGCGGTGGGTCAAAAAAAATAAATAAAAATAGCCCCATTTGGCATTTCCTTTTCCCCTCCTATTATTTTCTCGACAACCAAACAGGATATATAACACAAATATCAGAGAGGTTGGGGAAAAAAACCTTCGATCTCTAGGAGTGAAGATGTCCACCACCTTGCCATACTTGTCAAAATAGGGGAACAGATCATCTGCAGTTGTACCTGTTTTTCCAAAAAAATTATTAAAATTAAATAAAATGTGCAGTGATGGGTAAGCAAGACATCGATCCATCGCCGAGAAAACGGAGAGAGAGAGAGAGAGAGAGAGAGAGGATTGAGAAATCGATAAAAGACTTACGAAAGCTGATGTTGAGGACGAGAAGCGAATAGGTGTCTGCGATGTCTGGCGGACCAGACCTCCCAAAGTGAGACATACTCTCTCTTCTTCCTCTCTATCTCTCCCTCCTTTCTCGTTTCTTTCTCTGCTAATCGAACCTTCACGAAGAGCCGCGGTCTTTCTTCTTAAGTTCTTATATATATATAGTTTACAATAGCCCGTTTTAAATTTTATATTTTAATAATTTTTTTAAAATTTGAATATTATTTTATAAAATTGAATAGATAAATTATTAAATATATGATAAAATTATATTGTATGATATGTATCATTTTAAATTTATTATATACCTAATAATATAGACTCAAATTCTATTACCATATATTACCAAATCATTTTAGGTGAATTTATGAAATTTTAACATTTCTTCTAAATTTATAAAAAAATAATAATTATGGTGTATAATTTTTCTCAACACATAAATATAAAACAAATATTAAAACAATTCACTGAACTAATAAAGAAGTAAAAGAATATATATATATATATATATAAATAATTAATTTTATTAATACATAAATCATATTGGCGTAATAAATAACCAATTTTATTAATAAGCAAATCATTAAATAGATTATCAATTTTTTATGATATGAAAATTATTTCAGTTAACCATTTGGTTAATAAATAAATCACTAATTCAATTAATAGTTTTTAATGATATAAAAAATATTTTTCAATAAACAATTTTGATAATTTATTATTGCATTAATAGTTTTTTTTTCTCCAAGTATTATGCTAAATTAAAATTTATAACAAACGATAGTTGTAATTTCTAATATTATAGGATTGATTTATATTTTAAACAAATCTTATAGGTATATTTGTAATTTGTTAAAAAATAAAATATTTATGTTTCAAAATTGATCAAGAATATTTGCTTAAATACGAAAAAACATATTTCATAATTGATCAAAAATGTTCGTATATTTACGAAAAAAACCTGTTGAATAATTGATCAAGAATGTTTGTGTAATTATGAAACAGGTCCCGTGATAAGCTCGGACGGGTCTAACAGCACCATTTAGTTCGACCTGAAACTGAAAGGAATTCTAGTCATTTTCGAATAAAATAAAAACATCCTTATCCAAAGATTTCCAAACACCACTAAAATAATTATACAATAAAAATACTAAATATTAGAATAAAAAACATTAAAAAAATCTATAATGTAAAAAATTAATAAATATTGTTTAAATTAAAATTAAAAATATTTAAAAAGCCCTGTTTGCAATTTTGTTCAATTTCTTAAGATTATTGGGCCTCTCATGTTTATAAATGACGATGACAATTTGTTATAAGTTAAAAATTAATAATTAAAAAGCAGAAATTAAACGTATTCCTTTGCCAATTTTTAAATAATCATTTTTTTTTATCCATTCAAACTATTTGTGTTTAATAAATTATAAATAGAAATTATATCAAATAGTTTGGTACAAATTTTTAAATTAAAATAAGTTAGAAACACTCATTTAACTTGTAACAACCCCTTACAACTTAAACTTTAGTGTTTAATTGGGGGATTTGAGTAGAGATTTAGAAAGAAAAAAAGAAAAAGAGAAAAAGGAGGTGAAAGATGAATAAAATATAATTACGTTTCACCTAATTTCACACATATTTTTATTTCCCCCTTCTAAATTTCGTCCCAAATTTCCCCACAAAATACAGTTTAAATAAATTAGAGGTAATTGCACCAGAGTGGGATTTTGAAGTAAAAAAAATTACATATTGATAAAAAAAATTATAATTATAATTACTAATATTTAAAAGTTTCTCACTTATTGATAATTATTTTTTAAAAATTACGCTGATTTGCGATAGGGTAAATTGTCAATAGGTCATAATAGTTTGATTTAATTCCTATCTAATCTTATTGAAAATAAGTTATAACAGAATCAACACCAAAAATAATTTTTTGCCACAATTTTTTGCATATGTCGCTAAAAATTGACAACTGGTGGCTTTTTTATCACGATTTTTACAAATTGTCACTAAAATTTATAATTAGTGACATTTTTTTGTGACAATTTTTTTAAATTGTCGCTGAAAATTAAAAATTAGTAATCTTTTTTTGTGACGATTTTTTAAATCTGTCGCTAAAATCTATAATTAGTGGCATTTTTTGTAACAAAATTTTCAAACTGTTACTAAAAATTAACAATTAATAACTTTTTAAAATAATTTTTGATAAAAAAATATCATTAATTATTATAAGACCTATTAGATAATAAATTCACATATTATGCCTTACACGCAAGTCTCAATTTGCTATATTTCCAATGAATTAAGAGAGAGAATTACACATCAGTGAGAAATCAAAAAATTATTTACAAAAAAATTATAAACTTACTCACCTTTTTCTTAAGAGGAATGCTACCAAAATTGGAGTAGAATTTTTGGGATCTCTAAGGAATAATGCTAGAGATTCCAAAAATTCTACAAAATGAGTCACATGGGTATGGACCCACACATATGGGTCCTATATGGGTCTCACATCTATGTGAGACATTTGGTAGAACATTTAGTAGAATTTTTTGGGTCTTTAACATTTTTATTTTCTTAAATGTTTTTTTGATTGGGAATGACTTATCTCTAGTCCGTGATCGGACTGAAGGGTACTGTACGGGCTCATCACGGGTCCCATTTCGATAATCCAAACCATTCAATGTATAGAATTCGTTGAGTACTATATGCTTATAAAAAATTACGTTGATCGAATATCGATAGCTCTGTGATCAAATCAGATTTTTGTAAGCCGTTTATTTTTCACCATCGATTTTTTTATACAAAACTGGTTTGATCACAAACTATCAATATTCGATCAACGAAATTTTTTACAGGCATATAGTACTCAACGATTTCTACACATTGTACGGTTCGAATTATTGAAACAAAACCCGTGATGACTTCACACAAGCCCAACAATACCCTCCAATGATTGGACTGGAAGGAAACCATTCCGTTTTTTATTCTCCACTTTCCCCATGAATTAATTGAAATAACTAATTACACTAAACTATTAATTTAACAACTTTAATCTCCTTTTCGAAGTACCCAAAAAAAAAAAAAAAAAAAAAAAAAAAACTTTAATCATTTGAAATCATATATTATACTTATACACAACCGGCCACCTGAGAAAACAATGCGTGTATTGTCGGTTAATACTCTCTTTGTTTTTGCATTTATTAGGATTTAGCTTATCATCCATGTCGGATTTGCACCAAAAAATGCTGAGCCTTTTTGATATATACGCTCCATCAGTGTGCTTTTAGAGAGATAAAGAGACGAGAGAGGAGAGAAAGAGAGAGAGAGAGAGAGTAAAGAAAATGAAGTTGAACTAGAAACCATGGTGGTGGTTCTTTCACAAACACCACCAACTGTCTGTGAAATTGTCTGTTTTGATTCTCTTACTGGGTCTCATTCTCAGACTTCTCTTCTCCAAATCAACTGGGTTTTTGAATGTCGCTGAAACTCCATTCATTGAGAAGATAATGAGCTCAGAACCACCAGTTTTGATCTATTCTTCTCCTATTGAGAAGACGATGAACCCAGAACCACAAGTTCCTGTCGATTTTATGGAAGATTCAGATCAGATTCCTCGAAGTGGTACTCAATTTTTTTTTGCTATTATGAATTGGGTTTCTCTTATTTTTACTTGGTTTTTCTTTGATCAGTCGCAATTGTTAAGAAATTCAAATCAGCAGAGGAAATAAAAGAAGTGGACTGTGTATTGATGAACTCCATTCGTAGAGATCTGCAAATTTGTTTGGTTGTGCTTCTATTTTTTTGCTTTCTGTTTTCATTTTCTGGAGAATACAAAAAGGGTTGTTTTCAGAAAATGAAAACATAAAGCAAGAAACGAAAACACAACCAAACAGAGTGAATTTTTGTTGGGGTTTTCTCTAATGTGGATTCGAAATGCTGATTCTTTTGGGATCTCTCTTAGTTTACTTGCAAGTTTGATTGATCTAATGTTACAGTCCTTGATTGGGTTGTGCACTTTAGCTTTTCCTAAAATCTTTACTTTCATAGTAAAAGATTGATTTTGTTGTAATACTGAAAGTCGTGTTTGTTTACACAGAAAACATAAATGCAGAGACCTGGCACTTTAACTTTTCCTAAAATCTCTACTTTTCTAGTAAACCATTGATTTTCTTATTATATACTGAAAGTTGTGTTTGTTTACTCAGAAAAATTAAAAGCAAAAAAGTGTGATTTTTTTACTGGCGATTGGATCCCAAACGCATTTGGTCCTGTTTACAATAATGAGAGTTGCCATTTAATTGAGTGTCATCAGAATTGTTTGAAGAATGGGAGACCGAACACTTGGTATTTGTATTGGAGGTGGAATCCGCGAGATTGTGAGCTTTCCGAATTTGATTTAGAGAAATTTTTGGAGTTGATAAGGGATAAGACGTGGGCGTTGATTGGCGATTCTATATCTCGAAACCATGTTCAGTCCTTGTTTTGCTTGCTCTCAAAGGTAAATGTTCGTATAGCGAAATTTGGTGTTGTTTTTGGACGTTTGAATAGGATATTCACTTTGTTCTTTACCTTGTTTGTTTGTCCTATTTACAATATTAGTATTTTATAAAAAGGGTAAATTACATTTTATCCCTTTGTGGCTAAGCCCCAAAAATGAAACCACGGCTGTATTTAGTTTGTGACACTTAACCCAGTATTCATGTATTATCTGCAATGGTTTGTTTTCCATCCAAATTAACGCAACTACTTTCTCAGTCACTGACCAGTCCCTTTACATAAACAAAGCCACTAACTGCCATCTTCATCATCTTATTGGCATTGTGAGCATGGAATGAACTTCAATCAATGTCTCAAGATTATTTTTCTCATATGCTTTAAAAATAGCAAATAACCACATGGGATCTTAGAATTATATAAGGCTCTGTTTGATTAGGGTATATAATAGGGGGATATACCCCTCTGATCAGATATAAGAGACCAAAAAAAAAAAAAAAAATGTGAGTTGCCCCTTTTTATATTATTTGTTTGGTTACCAGATATGAAATATGGTGGTATATTATATTCCTCAAAATTATAGGATATGTAATGCCACACCCTTATAGTATTGCATATCCCTTACCACATGATATAAGCTAGGATTCATCTAACAGTAAAAAATAACCACTCTCTTCTTATTCCATGTTATATCCAACCTTAACCAAATATAGTATAAGTGATCCCATAATATATATAATCTACCTCATATCCTAAACATATTATATCTCATCCTATATCTGCAAGTATTATATATCCTTCTCAACCCCTTATGTCCAATCCGGACAATAAACAAGGCCTAAGAGTATGTGATTGTACCAAATTGATCAATTGAACAAAGTATCCCTAAGAGTGATATTCATCAAACAATGTATGGTTATGAGTCAAATCACAATTGCTGGAAGTAAAATCTATCAAGAAAAAAGCATTTACTTAATGTTCACAATTATGTGTGTTTATTATGCTCATATCATTTAAAATGTATTGCGCAACATAGGCTTTATGAGAGAACTATTTGAAGGAATTTGTCCAATTGTTTTAGAGGTATTGTTCTTTATTGCACATTTCTTGTTTTGAGTCTTCCAACAAAGTTTGGGGTGCTAAAAGGGGACACAATTCTATGACTTTTTGTCATTGTGCTAATTATTAATGTCGGGACAGTTTAAGGTCATGCTGGACCGTTGTAGGAATTGACCGAAATTAATGTTGAGGCATTTTACAGGGTCATGCCAAACCATTATAGGAACTTATCAAAATCAATGTTGGGATAGTTTAAGAGGTCATGTCGGACTGTTGTAGAGACTAACTATTGAGTTTTTTTTTTGGCTTCTTCCAATCATCTATTGGCAAACTGTGATTGTTGAATATCTTCACACTAGATTCAGGTAGGGATGGCAATTTAAACTCGACCCATCCCCGTTTCCCCCGATGTGAAATTACTATTATACCCCTATATATATATAAACCAAACCCTAAAACACACACAACCTCTCACACTGCCTCTCATCTCATCTCTCTCAGTTTCTCCGTCTCTGTCTCTATTTCTCTCTCTTTGCAGAATCGCAGTTCCTCTCCCCTCCCTTTCTGACTCGCTGTTCCACCACCGCCTCTGCCATTCCACCACCGCCTCCACCATTCAACGACGAGAGTCAATTGTAGCTCATCTTCCCTTCCTTTTTCACCACTGCTCCATCACCACTTTTACCATTCCACTATTGCCTCTGCCATTCAACGACCAGAGTCGAGCTCAGATTTGAAAGATCTGGTTGCGGTGGTCAGAGATCGGGGACGTCATCCTCATCCTCATCTTCTTCGACCTCTGATTCTCTGTGTATGTGTGTGTGTGTGTTAGATTTCATTTTCTATAATCATATATATATAATCGTTTGTTTGTGTTAAATTTCACCTTGTTTTTTTTTTTGTTTTTGTTTTTTTTTCCTTTATATATATATATATATATATATATATATATGTTGTTGTTAATCATATATATATAATCGTTTGTGTCTCTCTGTGTCATCATATTAATACATGTTATTGATGATGTTGATGTTTATGTTAATAAAAATGAAAATGTTGTTATTGTTGTTAACATATATTTTTTTTATCTGTTATTATTTTTTCTTTTGTTAAACAGATCTGGCTCAGATCTGGACGTTGTCGGGGATTTTTCGGGGTCGAAGAAACTCGATCCCCGTTAGGGGGAAGGGGCGAGGGGGGGTGGGTTCTTTGTCGGGGATCAGAGATGGGGACAGGGAATTTCATATCTTCGTGGATCGGGGATGGGAAATGCAATCCCTGGCCCCACCCCGACTCGTTGCCATTCCTAGCTTGAGGGAGAGTGTTGAATATAGAAATTAGAGTACATAGAATCTTTTTATTGTTAGTATTATGTATATAATCTGTGATTGTGTCAATCACTGATTTAGTATTGTTTCCTTATTTATATCGTTTCCCAAATTGTATCATAAATCTATTATATATATATGGCCTCTACTTCATTTATGGGTAAGCCAAATAATTCTTTTCATTCTTTTTAGTATTAGAGTTAGGTTAAGTACCTAGTAATTTCGCTTCACCGACGGGCGGTAGTCTTGTCTTGGCCGCCCACTGGATCTCAACCCATTCTGCTACTATTTTTTTTTCCAGTATCGCTTCATGGTGATCTATTCCTCTGTCCACTAGTTTATTCCTATCCTAAATATCTCTATCATATTTTTTTTTACTTGCAATCCAATTTTTGTGTGTGTGTGTGTTTCTGCTCCAATTTGTTTTTCCTTTATTTCAACTTCAAATCGGTTTCTATCTTCAAACCTATTTGAGTTTGAGGGAGGGATATTATACTTGTATCATGGTGAGCATAGTGATATACCATGTGAACCACCTAAGCTACCTTCTTTGGCGCACAACCCAAGTCACTCTGATACCAAAAAGAATGGAAAGAATTATTTGACTTATCCATGAATGAGCTAGAAGCCATATATATATAATAGATTCATGATACAATTTACGAAATGATATAGATAAGGAAACAATACTAAATTAGTGATTGACACAATCACAGGTTATATATATAATACTAAAAATAAAAAGATTCTATATACTCTAATTTCTATATTCAATAGTTGCCACTGGATATTTCTTTTGTTTCGGCTTTGTCAAAAGATCTTGAATATGCGTCGCACACAGGGTTCTCTGAGATGTCTTTTTTCAATTTGTAAACACCCTAGTTCCCATTTTGTTTACTTGACAAAAATAGTATTTCCTTTCTGTGTTCAATTGTTCCCTGCACAATTCACTGTGAACAGGACATTCTTCACGTTATGAGCCCTAAGGTTCAATTTGCTTTCTGTTTTTTATTCCAATCTTGGTGCGGACAACAATATCAATTGGTCCATGCTTTCATTTTATGAATTTGATTAGCATCTAAAGGAAATATCCTAAGCTAATTAAAATGGTAGTTCTACTTGTGTAGACACTTGATTTTTATAACAAATTATAACATTTGATGACTTAAAGTTAGGGGTTAGGAAGGCTTTAGCTTTTAGAAAGTTAAAAGATTTTTAATCTTGTGGGTATCTATATTCAGCTGACATGTGGCAAACCATACCAATGCCACATCACCATTAAAACCAACACATGGGTTTCCAAGTGATGAGCCATCATAGCACCACATCATCTCCACTATGAGCACGGGTCATGAGCCTAACCTAACCTAAATAGGGGCACATGGACCACCAAGTACAGTAAACATGGTCAGCTAATACACTTGGTGCTGGAGCCAAGGCATTAGGAAATAAGGCTAGCATAGCCTTGTCAAGACACGCTAGAAGGCTAGCATGGTGTAGACACCCCATTTTTTACGACCCTTACGACTTGGACGCCATCGCTTGCACACCCAATGATGAGTGTATATGTTTGTCAAGTGCTTGAAGTCCTCAGCAGAATGCCACAGCTTTGAGCCATTCAAACCCTACATCCTTGTTGCCTTTGTTTTGGACCCAAAACCTTGGATTTTCAAACCTGCAACCTCTGGTGGCCTGCCGGCCACTACTATGGGCTGCCAGCCACTTCTTCTGGTTACCGGCCACTGATGTGGCCTACCGGCCGCCAATGTGTTTTGTAAATATTTTGTGATAGCTATGCCAGCTGTTTACACAGATGTTTGCATCTGCTCCCTGTAGCTTGACTTTTCCGTGCCCCCTTTCGAAAGACGAAATAAGCCCTACAGTTCGGACTCCCACGATTTTGAATCTAATCTCACTAGTGCAATGTAAAATTGATAAACACCAAAGAGTCCAAATCTAGCAAATCTTTTAAAAAATCAATTTTGAATAAAAAATGCCAAATATGGACTGCTTTACCAAATACAGAGTCGCCACCTAAATATTTTTTGTTTTAGGAAAATTTAGAAAACTCATGAGTTGTGCCAAAGGCCACGTGTCCGTCATCACCAAGATTGTCTCAGCTCGAGAACTTAGGTATGAGAGGGGAAGGTCATGAATTGAGCACCCCCACTCGCCCGATCAAAGATCGGCCTCTACCAATCATGATATGATTTTTATCAACATTATATGCTCTTGTTTAGATTTATTAGGCTAGCATTTACTATGTGATGTGTACACACACAAGTATAGACTAGTTTGCCCGAATTGGAACAATTCAATTTCATGTTTGTTTTTCGAAAAGGGTTTGATTTTGCCACTTAACAAAGTGGACTTAAAGTTTGTGAATTTGCCACTTGACAAAGTGAGCTTAAACATATATTTATTGAATCATTCCAATTCAAGCAACAAGCCTTCATCCACAGGTATTCAAACAGTTTAACAAGTAAGCACTTAGCCTCATGGAAAGCATGCTAGTCATGGCAGTCACTCACACTCATAGAAGTATGCTAAAGCACTAAAAACTCACCTAGTACTCTAAGCTAAGATAAAACAAACGAGTTAGAAAATTATGCATGATACCTAACTTATGCAATATGACTAATGCAACACATGCGATATGCAACTAACAGGCTTGGCTACTAGTATGGCATATGAGGCAATTTAAATAGCATGCGGTTTAAGAACGTATTCAAAGAAGTTTTTGAACTAACAATGCAGTTAGAATGATGAACCGAGTCTCGGTGCATGCAATACAAATGGATGCAAACATAAAGTATACTAAACAAAACATGATGTCCCTAAACTATCCATCGTAAGCTAGTAAATAAAAGGGAGAAAGACGTGGGGATGGAAGACATACACATTATTACATTACGCTCTCACGAAGAAGAGTCCGAATGAATAGACTAAGCTAACTAGCAACTAATTAAGCCAAAGCTAATTAAGCTAACTATTACAAAACGAAATGAATAACTGGCTAAACTACTTAACTAATTATTACAACACTTGAATTAACTAACTAGTTAACTAACTAATTAAATAATTATAACACAAGTGTAATTAAAATAAGTAATTAAAATAAGCAACTAACGACTCCGCCTTGGGAAACGAGGGATGTGCATGCGCATGCTCGGATTTCATCCAAAAAGACCATCGTTTTGCTCCCGAATGCCTCTGTTTGCACAGTTGAACATTTCTAGAATAACTTTGCTCCACCTTACAAACACTCTATTGAGTTTTGCATCAGTGGCCAGCCGGTCAAAGATGAAGGTTACCGGCCACCAGCCAGCCATGGAGGTGGTCTGCCGACCACCTGTTGGCCATAGAAAGTGGCCTACCGGCCACTGATGCCTAGGTTCATCTTGCTGCAACAAAGCATATACAGGGCATTTCAAGGATTGTCTACATAACTCACCCCTCATTTTCATGAACAAATCCAAGGAGTTGTGAACCTAAACCACAAACCACCAATTCAAGCAATTTCATTGCCTGATGGCTTGTGAACCCAAGACTGTAAGTTCAATAAAAGCAAGAAAAAAAAGACAAAACCTCCTCCCTTTCATGAAAGATCAAGGGAAGTGATTGACCTTGGAGACTTGGATCATTTCATCACTAGCAAGTATGAAATGGTCCAAGTTCCAAGTGTCCAATTAACGTCTGATTGAACACACCAAGAAACAATCAAATTCTTATCTTTGCACAATTTTAGTTTCAGCTTTTAGTTACTCATTTTAATTACCCTTTCATTCTTTAACCAATTATATCCATTGGTGAGTTGAGTCCTCTAAAAGAGAAGGAAGTGTCAAACAAGGGGTAGTTTAAGGCAAGAGAGATGTGTCATGCCGTTGATAATGAACCCCCAAAAGAGGATTAAACCATTAAGCATGGACATCAATCTCAAGCTTAAACAATCTCAAGGTTGAAACAACCTTCAAAGCAAACAAAGAGTGAAGAAATGAGGGAGGTTGCAAAGATTATGCTTGTTGAAATTAAGTGAAGAAAACACTAAAACAATGCAATCAACTCAGACAAGTGGTGTCTAAAGGCCTAAAACACCAAGCTTGTGAGGATACTTACACTAGAAGCATGTAAAACAAGACTCGAATGACTTAACCAACCCAAATAAAAAGTTAAAATAGTCCAAATCAGAGGTTAAAATATGCTGGAATTAAGCTATAAATGGCTAGAAAATTAAGCTAACACATAACATAAACTAGGCTAGTAAACAAGACACAAGGAGGGAAGGCCAACCCCTCCAAATTTGGACTTCAAAATATGATTTTGGCCACTGAAAAAGCTCTAAAAATCAGTGTTTAAAAGCTTGAAAAAAGATAGTAAAAGGGTGGGAAACATAAGGGCAATGGCCTCAAAGCAAGGTGCAAAGAAGGGCTATCACCCCTTCAACCTTTAATGGCCTTAAACCCAAGCTTCAGCCCAAAAAACACAGAGTTTTGACAGCCCAAAAACAGTGGAAAAATAGTTGAAATAATAGTATAGAAAGCAAGCAAAGAGGCAAAGCCTTGTACCACTTGAAGAGAAGAGTAATTCCAAGCAACAAAACGAAGTAAATACACGCTCAAGAACACCTCAGCTCAAAGATGAGAAGATTTGGTTAAGGGTATATAGGCAAAGGCAAAGGAATTGGAGGCTAAAGTGTAGAGATTTGCTAGAGAAAGAGAGAAAAATTTTTGAGTTCAAAATTTTCTAACCTCAAAACAAGAGAGAGGGGTCCCCTATATATAGAAAACATGAAATTCCCTCAAGGAGATCCTGCCGTACACGTGGGGATAGATGCATGCATCTGTGCAAATAGCTGGCATAAAATATTTACAAAACACACTGGTGGCCGGCAAGCCACATCAATGGTTGGCACCAGGTCGACAAGTAAAAAGTGATGGCTGGCAAGTCTCTAGTAGTGGCCAGGAGGTCATCAGAGGTTGCAGATTGAAAAAGATAGGCTTGGTCCAAAACTGGGTTTGAAAGGCTATCAATGTTTGCGAGGCTCAAAATTGTGGCCTTCTGTTGAGGACTTCGAGCACTTAGTGAGGAAACAAACTCATCATTGGGTGTGCATGCAAGGATGTCCAAGCCGTAAGGGTCGTCAAAAATTGGGTGTCTATAGTTGCCCCTCTTTGATAGAACTTGAAGTTATGAAATGACGTGAGTGAATGTTAAAGCCCAGAGACGACCCATTTTGATAAGGCCATAAGACTTGGACAAATAATCAAGACATAAATAAATGGTTGCGCCCGCAAGCTACCTACTTATTCCTTTACAAGAAATCAAACCAGCGTAGTTCTAGGGCAAGATGCAAATGATATGCACAATGCAACTTTGAAAGTTGAACTTACATGCTTCACGAAGCTGACTACTTTGAAAACTTATGATCATGTGAGATGATGCAATAAGTAATAACAGGACAACAAGCAAGATAACAAGATAATAATATATGAATAAGCAGCTTCAAGCTAAAATCAACACAAGTTCTACGCAAGAAGAACTAAAACACACTTTAACCACACCAAAACAAGAGGCGAGGAAAGAAAACACCGCTCAAGGTTACGTTTCACGCATCCTGAGAAACTGAAAAAACCACTCGGGGTCGTGTTACACGTCCCGAGATAAAACCCTCCCAGGGCCGCACTTCGCATGTCCTCAGAAACAAAAACTGCTCGGGGTCGTGTTTCACACGTCCCAAGATAAAAGCAAAATAGCTTAGGGCTGCGTTTCACGCGTCCCAAGAAGCAAAAACCGCTTGGGACCCTGTTTCACATGTCCTGAGATGAAACCCACCCAAGGCCGTGCTTCACACGTTCTGAGAAACAAAAACCAATCAGGATTGTGTTTCACACATCTTGAGATAAAACCTATCCAGGGCCGCGTTTCGCACGTCTTGAGAAACAAAAACTGCTTGGGGCCGTATTTCACACATCCCGAGGTAAAACCTGCCCAGGGCCGCGCTTCGCACGTCCTGAGAAACCAAAACCGCTCGGGGCCATGTTTCACACGTCCCGAGATAAAAAAGAGAGGTGTACGATAGATGCTCAAAATGAATGTGTGTGATAGATGCACAAGTTGAAGGAGTGTGTTCTCTTACCGAGACACAAATGACTTTATCCGGAACTCCTCTGAATGAACCATACATACAATATCATTTGCCTATGCTGGCAAAGGAGAAAAGAATTAAACCACTGCGATACAATAACCATGCATGCTCTATGCAAGATAAACAACCAAGATATGATATTAGTTGAAGGCATGTTCCATGCATGAGACGAGAGCATTTTCTATGTATGAAATCAGAACGTAAGCATATTTTATGCATGAATCATAACCGATGCAAGACACGCACGCAGTGTATATATGAAATGCATATTCTATGCAACAACGTGAAATGAGTATTCTATGCAAGGAACAAAAGCATATCTTGGCAAAAGTGAATGCAGTGGCAACTTTCGATCTGCCTCTCGAAAGAGTTACAATATGTTTAAAAAGGATACACATGTTGACAAGTGACGAACATCGTGAGCCAAAGTACAGTTTTGAGCTTCCGTAGAGACAATCTGGACCCAACAGTGAACCTTCCTTTCACTTCTTGGGAAATAAGGACACAAAACAGCATCAAGACTCGAAAGAGGGCTACCGGCCACCGGTCGGCCGCAAGGGGAGGCCGCTGGCCACAGGTGAGCCTTACCGACCACTAGTGAGCCTTACTGGCCCTATGTTAGCCACCGATGGCAATTTGAGGCAAAACTAACTTTTCATGCTCGGGTCTTTAAATATAAGTGACAAGGGCTCATTTCCTTATAACCCTAGGACCGAAATTCTTCTCTCTCTCTCTCTCTCTCTCTCTAGGCACTCCTTCTCTCTAGATTTGTGTTTTCTACACGTTTTCCAACGCCCCACGCAAACTTTATTTGCTAAACCCTCTTGATTCTCTTCACTTTGAACCGATTGAAATTTGATTTTGACGCCTTTTCCTTCATTTTCACCCTTCTAGGTTTGTTCCTCTCAAGTTCCTTTCAAGTTCTATACACTTTTCCCGGCTTTGACTTTTTCTTCCATTTTCTCTATCCTAGGATTGACTTTTTCCAAGTTTACCCACTTTTCTCTATTTTTCTTCACTTTTCACATACTTTTCACCCATTTTCTAGATGGTGGATGATGTACCATATGACAGGGCTCCTCCAATATTTCCACATATTCCTAAGGCGGATGAGCCGATCATTTTCGAGGCAGTTGGAGGTATTGAGGCTGACCTCGAGGTGGAGTTTGCACATGAGCTAGAGCCAGAGTCATTACTAGTGAGGCTTTGGCCACTTGATTCGGAGAGGTACCATCTCCGGACACATATCTTACCAGCTGGTGGCATTTGATACTTCAGCGACTTCATTCTCGGTGTGCCAGAGGATCTCCTGTTGAGTGAGCCGGCTACCCACCTTTCGTCCATCGCAGTTAAGGTATGAGCTTCTGCTTTTCATGCATTTCTTCCTATCTTTATTTGCATTTCTTGCACTGCATTTATCTGACTGCATTTCATGCACTGCCTTATATCTGACTGTACTTTCATCACTTTTCACTGTATTTCTTGCACTGGCTTTCATTTGACTATACTTTCATCACTGCCTGATCTAACTACACTTTCATCGCTTTTCACTACATTTCTTGCACTGCCTTTCATCTGACTGTACTTTCATCACTACCTGATCTAATTTATCTATTCTTTGCCATAGGGCGAGTCTCGTGCCTTCCGAGAGTACGGAGCTACTATTGCGCGAGACTAGTATGACAAGCTCCCCGCAGGAGTTCGCGACATCATAGACGAGATAGGCTTCAGCCTATTTTGCTCTAGCCTGACGCGAGTCATCGCAAGTCATCCTCTTTTGGGAGCGCTTGTGGAGAGGTGGTGGAACACCACCAACTCCTTCCATTTTTCTACTATAGGGGAGATGACGATGACTTCCAATGACTTTGCCATGATCACCGGCTTAGACGTAGGGGGTGATCCGATCCCTCTCGATTTAGACATGGGGGAGTGGGAAGTAGCCTGGTTTGAGTTGCTGGGAACGCATCCGCCCATATGTTGGACAAGCATGGTCAAATACACCTGGTTTGTCGAGCGATTCAGAGAGAGCGAGCCTGAGATCGTAGAGGAGACGGAGTAGTATGCTAGGGGCTTTCTAATGTTCATCTTCGGTACCACCTTATTTTTGAATAGGTGGAACACCATCGGCTTATATCTACTGAGCGCCTTGGTGACCGTTCCTCGGGTGCACTTTTTGATTGAGGTGGAGCTGGCCTCGCCATGCTATATGGATACATGAGTTCGAATTCTCGTCTGAGTGAAGACTTGATTGGAGGCTACTGGCGAGCCTAGGAGATATGCATCTCAGTTTCCTCTTTGCACTTTACATTTTCTATTTTGCATTTTCTGCTTTGCACTTTCTGTACCTGTTTAGACACTGTTCATACATTGTGCTTTCTATTTCGCACTTTCTGTATCTGTTTATACTGTATTGATCACATATCACTGCATTTTCTCCACAGTTGTGGGTTTATGCATATTTTTCGACTCTCGCCCCAGAACCTGTGGAGGAGCTTCTATTGGCAGTCCCCTTCTCATGGAGGTATGACGGCCGGCTCCAACGTAGGACCCGCGAGGTGACTCGAAACATAGTTATTTTTGCTTTACAATTGTCCTAATTGACATTTAGCAATTGATAGTAACTAACAATTTGTACAACCTCTATTCGCAGATTATGTGGCAGCCATGGGCAACGATGTCTGCTGGGATTCGAGACTAGTTCGCTGGAGCTTGGGCTACTTCCCACTTCTGAATTCTACTCGAGGGCCCAGTCTGCTGAGCCTGGTTCCTGAGCGAGCGATTCGTGCGCAAGATTGTAGGCCTGCCTGACCTGATCATTCCGATGGCACTGCCAGAATCCATGCAATCAGCAGATAGCATATCCATTGATGAGGTTATTCAGTTTATGGTGGGCTTGGATGTTGACTTCTTCCAAGCAGAGGGAAACTATGCGACCTTTATTCAGACGTAGCTCATGCCACCTTTGACAGACACTCGTGGAGGTGAGGAGGTGAGAGCTCCTGCTATGCGAGAGGCGCCTAGGGTGACTCCGGCGACTAGGGTGACTAGGACGTCCAAGGCTCGTGGTAGAGGGGCTTCTCGGGGGTAACAGAGGATCGGTTGGCCAGAGCTTCCGACCGCGCTGACATGCTGGCGGCATACTAGGGATCCTTAGCAGGTCCCGATTGAGCCTGCAGCGGTTGGGCACAAGCTTGCTGGGGTTCGAGTCCCGACTCAGGTATAGACCACACATTACGTTTCGCACCCCACATTTCATTTCAGATATGTTTACTGCAAACGCTGATCATTCAAATACATCTGCAGGCATCCATCGAGTACATAGGAGGCGCTCTTGAGCTAATAGCCTAGTTGATGGGGATGGTACAGAGGAGCGAGACGATGCTCGATCTCCACGGCATCCTAGTAAGTTCTTCAGTTTGCACTCTAGGCATCAAATTTCCACTAACACACTGACATTGACATTGACATTTCAACTGAAAACTTCCCAAACTACACTGATACACCGTATCTCACACTGCACTCACACATTGTATTCATACACTGCATCTGATTTTTGCATACACTCATTCTACATACTATGCTTGCATTCGATACACATACTGTAATTGATATGTGACAACTGTCTTTTTAGATCCCACCCATAGCGATGGCACCAGCGGCAGCCGTAGCACCAGCAGTATCTCCTCAAGCAACAGGGAGGAGAGAGAGACATGCTCCAGCAAGCGACCGAGATAGAGTTAGGGGCACCTAAGACGAGAGCGGTCCTTTAGAGCCTATTCTGAGTGATGATGATGCTGAGATGAGCGACTCTAAGGAGGTAGTGAGTTAGCATTCGGAGTCATCTGAGAGTAGAGACAATGTAGGCTTGGGTTCCGAGAGTGGAGGCGACACCAAGGCGAGCTCTGAGGTGGTGAGTGGAGATGACACCGACTCGGGCTTTGGTTTAGGTTCAAACAGTGGCGCTGATGGAGATAGTGCCCTAAAGTCTTCTCCTCCGAGGAAGAGGACAAAGAGGGCCTCTCGAGCCTGAGGCAACCGGCGCCGATTTTTTGTATTTTTGCTTAGTTTCTTTTGTTTATAGCATTAGCACATTGTATAGCTTCAAACAAGTTTCATTTTTTATTAAAATTTGTACTCCTCGTTTGAAAAAACCATGATCGGAATAAAACCTCATAGTTTTTTAAAGTGTGTTGTTATTTTTGCATCAAGAGCACCATATTTGTATAAAAAAGACAGAATTGAATTGGCAAACAAAACTGAACACTTGCATTGGCACAATGTTCTTAATCGGGTAATGAACTGACTAACAACCAAAATAAAAAATGCAACATACAACTCGATAAGTAACTCAACAACAACTTGATAAACAAAACGACTCAAACACAACTCAACAGGCTTGCTAAAACCAAAAGGACTTCAAACAGGACTTTAAAATACACACAGAGCAGAACAAAACACATGCTTTCAGCATTATTCAACACAAAGGTGGATAACAGGGTTTGAAAAGAAGACTGCTGGCTGGAGAGGAAGCCAGCTAGCCACCAATGTGGCCTGCCAACCACCTGCTGGCCATCAATGTGACGAACCTTTAGATTGTTGACAGCTGGCCTCCACTCACTGCCTTATCTTCTACAAAAGTTTCACCTTCGTCATTTCTTCTCCAGAACTCATTCTAGCTGCTATTTTTTTTGCCACAAATGGATCCATTTCTTGCCCAAAACCTCATGAATTGGATTGTAACTTTGGATGGCTCGAAAAAGGTGAATTTTCGGGATTTCGGCATAAATGCACTTTTTCCGTTGAGCCGAACTCCACTTTGTTTTCCGTTTTTTCATGTCACGGCTAGATGCTGGAGCCTGATTACATATGTCTTTAGCTTCGGGGGGCAAGAAATATGCCCGACAATTGAAGAATTTTAGGCGTTAATAGAGTCACGGCACGATGAGAAAATCATGCCTCAGTCTCGTTTTGGTCACGCCCAAGCTTTGGGATGGATGTGTGGGCTCACTCCGCACGAGGCTCAATCTTTAGCCCACAACGGAGAGCTAGACATTCCCAGTTTGATTCGTCAATTCTTCGACGCCGGTGACCACGACGACTGTCTTTGGCAGGGTTTTCGGCAGCATGCCCTCTGCTTATATATGCTAATTCATTTCCTTCTTGCCCCCAGTTTCGGCAGATCTAGCATTCACTTGATCAAAGTGGCACAAGGCCCAAAAGAAGACAAGAGTTATATTGGCTTGACACTGGCTGAGACTTTGATGGGCTTAGATGCCTTTCATCGACAAAAGACTACCAGATTCACGGGGAGTCCACTACTTCTTCAGGTAATGTTTCCCACCCTTTCTCATATATGTTTCTCACATCACTCGGCACCCATGCTCTGTTTTTCTCTCAAAGCCCTTTTCTCACTTTTCTCTCAACATACATATCTCTATTCTTTAATCTCTCTTTTCTTTCATCCCTTCCTAGGTGTGGCTTATAGATAAGCTGAAGGTAATGGACTCTTACCCTAAGTACTCAACTCGAGGCTACTTCTTCTGCCACCAACTATTAAATTTCCCAAGTGAGGGGTGGTGGTGCGAATGGACGTGTAACAGGTCTGCTGTTGACATTGCTTGGCATTACCCTTGGCTTAATCTGACCGAGATGAGCTACATCATGGCTCGACAGTATTGCATACAGTTGATTGGCTTGACACATTACGTGTTTTATTTCTCGTTCCGGTTCAGGCGTCAGTTTGGGCATGATCAGACCTGCCCAGAGGAGAGGGTAGAGTACCTAGTTTCATTCCCTATCCGAGGTTCACATTTGGCTAGGTACCTCATTGCTTGGAGGACGAGGGAGTTTCTGGCTCCTGTCCTTAGTTTTAGTTGCGAACTTTCTGGCGAGTGTTTGGCTTGGCTCGAGGATGAGGCACAAACCGGGCCTACTTTGGTATTAGAAGCTTTTACAAGCACGAGCATGGGACGCATGAGTGCCTAACTCATCTATGCCCCTAGATTATTTCTTTGATCTTTCTTTTCAAGTTTTTTGAATGTAATTAAAAAAGAAAAAAAAAACTGTGGTTTGTATCAGAGAGTCGGAGAAGTTTGTATTGAAATCAATGAAATTAAAAATTGTGAGCACTGAAAGTTTTCCTTTTGGTCCAAAAATGATCTAAGTTGTAAAAGGCAGAATTTGAAGAAAATAAACTTTTATTAAAACTTTTCAAAACCATTTTCGAGAAGGACCACCACTTGACACGCACGGAATCAATACTCGAGATGTACAACCCCGAATTGAAAGATTTCAAATTGCCCCTTGACTAAATAGCACTACTTAGCGTTATAACCAACTCTTCTCTTAGAGTAAAGATCACAACGGAACCCTTAGGTAAAGAGAAAACAAAATGACCTGATCAGACACATGGACATGACAGTTGAGTTGGAGGTGTTTATGGCTAAATTTCAGGATGAAGTTGCCTACGTATCCTGAAGATGGGAATCAGGCCTTACGTAGTTCGGTTCAGATTCACTCGAGTATTAACTCTCTTCTTTTGCGCTCTAACTTTTGCCAAGACCGCCTTTTAGGGTTTTCACCCTTGCGAGCTCAATTTTTCTCTATTTCTAATTTTTTATGCTCTAACTTATACCTAGGTTGCCCTTCCGGGTTTTCGGCCTAGCGAGCCTTTCAAGGATAGTATTTCTTCAATTTGTCCATGTTGATCGGTTGGGAAAATTCTAGGCCATCCAAGTCCATGAGAATGACAGCTCCATTTGACCAGATAGTTTTCATGATGTAAGGACCAGTCCGATTGGGTCTGAACTTGCCCCTTGGGTCATGGATGAGAGCTTGACTATCTTTTAGCACTAAATCCCCTTCTTTGAGATTCCGAGACTTAACCTTCTTGTTAAAAGCCCTAACGATCCTGTGTTGATAACCCTGAACATGGTACAATGCTTTTAGTCTTCTCTTATCAAACAACATCAGTTCTTTGAACCTGCTCTATTGTCAATCCGCCTCTGCTATTTGACACTCAGCCATAACTTGCAGCGATGGGACTTCTATTTTAATTGGCAAAACAGTTTCTATCCCATAGACAAGAGAATAAAGAGTTGCCCCTGTAGACGTCCGGTTTGAAGTTTTGTAACCCCAGAGTGAAAATGACAATTTATCTGGCCAGTCCCTGTAGGTCTCAACCATCTTCTATAGAATATGCTTGATGTTCTTGTTGGCGGCCTCAATAGCTCCGTTGGTTTACAATCGGTATGTAGATGACTTATGGAAATCCACATTGTATTTCTCCAACAAGTCGATCACTTCTTTCTTGAAGTGGAAGCCATTATCTGATATAATTTCATTCGGGACTCCATAGCAGCAAATGATGTTGTTTCGGATGAACTTAGACACATGCGCTACTTTCAACACAGCGTAGGACTGAGCTTCCACCCACTTCATAAAGTAGTCAATTGCTACCAAAATGTATTCATGCCCATTCAACCCTTTTGGCGTGATTGCCACAATGACTTCAATTCTCTAGACTGAAAAGGCCATGGTGAAGTCATGTTGTACAGTTTTGACGGCGGGATATTCACGCGATTCGCATGAATTTGGCATTTGTGACATCGCCGAACAAAACCAATACAATCCTCCTCCATAGTGAACTAGTAGTAACCTTACCTGAGAATCTTCGGGGCTAACATCACTTCGTTCATGTGCACTCCGCACTCTCCTCCATGGATGGCCTCCATCAGGCACTTTGATTCCTCTGCTTTCACACACAACTTGTGCATTCCCAGATGACCTCTCTTGTACAATTTACCTCTACAGATGATAAATTGAACGGCCATCCGCCGTATTGCCCTCTTATCCTTGGCATTTGCCCCTGGTGGATAAACACCATTTTTCAAGAAGTTCCAGATATCGTAATACTAAGGGTTTTGATCTTGCGTTTCATCTATTGTGGTGATAGTTTCGTAGGACGACGTATATCTCTACTCAATGATGATCAGACGCATCCGGACTCCATGCGGGATGTCTATCATAGAAGATAGAGTTGATAAGGCGTCAACGAACTATTGTTCTTTCTCAGTAGATGTGTGAAAGTTAGCTTTTCAAACCTAGGAATCAAAACGTCCAAGGTTTGGTGATAGATCTTCATCTTTTCTTCTTTGACCTTCCAGTCTCCATTTGCTTGAGATAAAACTAGGTTAGAGTCCCCGATCACATCCAACCTTTTTGTCCCTAGTTCTAGGGCGGCTTTCAAACCAATAATACACGCCTCATGTTCTGCTTCATTATTCGATACCTTGAACCGGAGTTTAAAAGCTAAAGGTATATGAGAATTGTCAGGTGCTATCAGCAACACACCTATCCTATAACCATATTGATTGGATGCTCCGTTAAAGTACGTTGTCCAAGTCTTCTCCTCGTCTTGCAGAATAGCTTCATCTGGGAATAGGTATTCTACCATTCATCCCTTTCTACTGGATGATCTGCCAGGAACTCTGCCACAGCTCTCCCCTTGATTGACTTGCGAGTGACATACTTCAGATCAAATTCGGAGAAAATAAGCAACCAACGGGCTAGCCTACCTGTAAGAGCTGGTTTCTCAAAAAGATATTTCATGGGATCTAATATCGAAACCAGAATTACAGAGTGAGCTAACAAGTAGTGCCTCAACTTCCTGGTAGCCTATACCAAGGCTAAGAAAGTTTTCTCCAGCAGAGTGCAGGGCATCTCATAATCCAACATTTTCTTGCTCAAATAATAGATGGCTTTCTCCACCCTATCCTTGGATTCCTGAGCAAGCATGCATTCTATTGTTGTAGTTGTGACTGACAGATACAGAATCAAAGGCTTTCCCAGCTCTGGCGGTGACAACACGGGTGGATTCTGAAGGTATTACTTGATCTGCTCAAAAGTGAATTGACATCGATCATCCCATCAGAATTTCTTTCCTTTCTTTAGGAGACCAAAAAGTAGTTCACAAGTCAAGGTTAATTTAGAAATAAACCGTCTTATGAATTGCACTTTACCCAGAAAGCCTCGCACCTCCTTTTCAGTCCCTGGTGGGGGAATTCCTAGGATGGCCTTGATTTTGGAAGGATCCACCTCGATGCCCCTC